ATTATATTACGCCATGGAAACTGCCCTTTACTGGTTGGGCTTAGTTAGTGCTTTCTTTTACTATCGCCCGCGATGGCTTCACGACTACCTAGCACACGTTCTAGAGCATGGCGTAAGCACTACCCTTTCCGCTGCTCAAGGCAGAGCCCCCGCGACGGTCTTGTTTACAGCCTCCTGCTAACACCCACCATCACCAACGGCACTGCTCCCACAGAGAGGACAAACATACCCCTGGAACGGCCCGTCAGCGCTACGCCAGCCTCCCCGACAATAACTTCATCTCTCTTGTTCGCCATTCGCGATCCTTCGGCGGTCGCGCCCCCGGTCCAGTCAACTTGACATGGCAGCGCTAGCCGGTTGATCTTTTGAACCACGCCCCCTCACAAAACGTCGACGCGGCAAGCCTCCTTTGTCGGTTGCACTGCACTTGTTCAGGGGGACAGCCCGGGATCACACACATACTATAATATGACAGGGGCGGATCAGGGGCATAGAGGCCACCAAGATCAGCGACTATGCACGGGGGCTGTGCGAGAGCTCAAGGGCAACGGCCACTGCCGAGTACGAGGCGCCCTGGTCTGGTGCTTGGAAGATAGCCAACTTTTTACATGCACAATACAAGAGCCTTCTCACCCCATGCTTGACTCCATCCATGCCGCTGCAAATGCAGTCTCCAGTCCAGTCGTTGCCCGCTCAGGGGGATATTCTCCTCTGAAAGCATACATAAAATGTTTATACTCTGACTGATTCCCTCTCTACAGGCTACTCGACCCTGCCAGCCACGTCGGCGTTTCCTCCTTGGTCACCACCCATTGCGCATACGACAAGTCCGCCGACGGCCCGCTGCGTAAACAGTCTGTCTCTAATACACTTCATCGGGCGGCCCTTACGAGTCGTCAGCCGCTTTCCCCGGCCGATGACAAGCATGCCCCGCAACAGATGGACACCCGGCCCGACCTCTTGGTCGTCCATAGCGGTGCAGGTTGTGTGCTGGCTTGGATGCTGGCGTGGCTGGCGGCTTCGGGGTACCGTACCCAACCACTCGAACACCATGGTGTTCAAAGCAGACAGGCAGCCCCGAAGCAGCAGGCACAAAAAAAGGGAGGGTGAGGTGGCCGGGCTTGCAGAACGAAGCAGAAAGTCTCAAGCCCCGAGCCGGATTTCAGCCCGCAACGGTGCCGACAGAATCAATACATACATTTTTCCCCATTCCACAAGGAACTACGTCCCCCCTCCCCCGGCGATTTCGGTATCCCTTCTCCGATGCGAAGCGGCGACACTCGGCTCCTCGCTGCGAGCAATCTCCCTACGCGTCGCTAGCGGGTAGATGACGGCGACAACAGTGCGTCCCGAGCTCGTAGGCCCCTGCTCGGCTACGCGCCTAACGGGCCGCTCACGACCTGGTCCGATTCCGCACGCCCAGGCCCCAGATGGCAGCTTGTCGGTGTGCCATGGTGCGTGATGCGTGGTTCGCGCAGCGCTGCCAAGGTGGCACCAGCAAGAGAGTCGATGCTGGTACCATTGGCAGCACCGACGCTGCTAGGGAATGCTGGCGCAGGCAGCCAGGGTGATGGTTCGTCGTCTCGGCGGCAGCCACCGCAGAAACGGAGACTCGGGCTCCTAACGCCGGCGTTGTGTGGCCGGAGCTTGTTTCATAGCTTCTCCGTCGCCGTCAAGAGTTTCTCGACCCCTTGTCTTGGTTGATTCCGCCGATCTCGCCGTCTCGGCTGGCCGCTTGCGTTCGTCAGCCTCGATCTGAAGCAGCTGCTCCCGAATCCACTCCACTCGGGCGGTATGGCAGCGGATCTTCCGCTCCACGCCGCCAATCTTGAACGTGGTTCGTCTGAGTCGACTGACGGGCTCTATCTCTTCAAGAATGGCATCTAGGTTCTTCTGCGCGATATCCAGGTCACGATTTGCTGTTTCCGACGGTGCCCTGTCCGCCGCCTGTTGCGCGTTTCTCAGGGTAATGTAAGCTTGATCCATGACGGCCCCCCGTTCGCGAGCGCAGTCGTCGCTGATAATGTATTCCCGCGTGGTAGGTGGCTCCAATAAGCCCATGTCCTGGAGCTGCTTCCAAATCTCGTCACGTTGCGATTCGAGCTTCGCAAAGGGTTTGCGGTGGTAATCTAGATACTAGGACTCATAATAAAGGTACTCAACCCACGTCTCCCACATTCCTTGCCGCAAGTCCTGGTCCAGAGAGAATGGTTGGATGAAACCGCGCTGCTTCAGGTGGCGCTCAACCCTGGCTGCATATTTGGAGAAGTCCTTCTTCGGCCCTTCTGGGATAGTGTCGGAGTTCTCGGCGGCTGGCAATCCCCGTATGTTCCGCTGCCACTCCCGAAATTCTTTCCACCTACACAGCTGAGCCCCGTAGATGTCTGCTTCGTACGGGAGGTCTACCCAGTCAGGATGTGCAATCCACGGCCGCACCATGTCTAGAAACTTGGATGGATCATGGTAGACTTGCTCGGCAAGGTCGGCTGGAAACGCGGGGCGACCGCCGTCCTGAACAAGGCTCTGAAGGCTATCCAGTCCTGCCTTCAATACCTCGGCCGGGGTAAGTTCCGGTATAGTGGACAGTTCTGACTCTGACCGGGCACGACGACGACGTCGGGTCTCGTCAGTCTCGTCAGTCTCGTCCGCAGCTAGGCTCTCCAACAATGCACCAAGCTGGCCGGCATCGACCGGAGCCGGTTCGAGTTGCATGTTTTGTACTGCCTTGCTGTAGGGGAGATTAGTCACGCGAAATAGAGCATGGGAACGAGCTTGCGCTAACCGGAGGCGATCGCCGAGAATACTGAGGTCCTCGGGAGATAGCAGGTGCCAGTCCGAGCCACCGTCGACAATGGTGCCATCAGGTTGACGATATCTCCGTATCCAGTCCGCAAGCTCTTGCTGGGAAAACTCGAGTATGGGTTTCGAGGTTGCTCGCTGCTATGGCTTGAAAGCATGTTGGAGCCCATGGTTGGGATCGTGGGGATGTTGAAGCGAGGATGCTGAAGTGTGTGAGGTATCACGCTTGGCGATACCGGATTGGGAAAGTGGCATGTCGTATTCGGTTCAGGTCTATATATCAGGGCCACCTCACACATGAAGCGAGGATGTTGAAGCTTCCTTCTTGACGCGCACGCGCCACCGTGGAGTCCATGGTGCATGTGACTGAACCACAGCAGGTGTTAAGTTGCGCCAGGACACCCTGCGAGAGGATGCAATTCATAATGGAAGCCGCCGTTGCGATAACGGCACTCTTTTGAGAAATAAACATGTTCTAACATGGCGAATTTAAAATATTTACGTCGAGGGGATAGCTCAACCAAGGTGGGTGAAGATCTCAGACAAAGTGGGGAAAAGTGGACCCCAACACAGTCAAAGTGGAGACTAGCTCTGTTGTCGCCAGTTGACTCCTTCACCAAAGAATGATTTCTTGCCCGAGCCTGGGTGCAGGAGTCGGTCGTAGTCCTCGTCCTTCTAGGACGAGCCTCGCTGTAGGGGCTGATCGCGTCGCTCGCCTTTATAGGGCTTCCCCGGATCCAAGGGTTCATCGTAGTCCTCGTCCTTCTAGGACGAGCTCTGTTGGCGCCAGTTGACCCCTTCACCAAAGATCTGATTCCTCGCCCAAGCCTGGGCGGACACAGGGGTCACCCCTTAACCATCTCTGGGCTTGCAACAACGAAAGCAACATTCGCGGCGAAAAAGCATTTGCTTTGCCCTTTTTTGTTCGTATTCTTGTAAAAGTGTGATAGCAACTATTGGTTATCTATCTATGCGAAGTAGGGCGAAGCTTGGCGGGGAGCGAACACCATCGTGATCCACTCCCGGAAGGGTCCGGCCACCCATCCGGCGAGGTGCCGAAGCACCGCGGCGATCATGTAGATGCCGGCGATGCTGTCGGTCCCACCTACACGCATGCAGGTGAAGATGTCCTGATGAAGGGTTTCCTTGTTAGTCCGCAGCACAACGAGGCAATGGGATCGGCCGGGGAGGAAACACTTACGATTCTGCCGCCTGCGTCGACGGCAAAGCCCAACCGCCAGTCGTGGCCGACGATGAGCAGCAACGGCAGCGTCACCACCCTCTCGCCCCGCGTGTGGGGCATCTGCAACATGATGTGGCGCATGCGGCGGTGCCAGGCCGCCGTGAAGACGCCGAGGCGGCGCCAGCCCTCCTCCTCGCTGGCGTTGACCTCGACGCCGACCGCGATGGGCGACCACATCAGCGGCAGGTACGCGACATGGTTGACGCCAGCGGCCGTGTGGGCGGCCGCTACGAGGCTGCGGATCACCTGGCCCAGCGTCGAGTCCGCCTCCCGCTGGCGGCCGGGCCAGCCATACGGAGGTATCAGCACAGAAAGGTGTCACCACACAGCGAAGCACACTGAGCTTCCATTTGGGGAGAGCAAGCAGCTAAGCTGTTCTAGGCATTGCCTTCCCAGTAGAAATCTGCAACATGACCTGACGGAAAGGGAGTGTTGACATTAGTGGTTGCTGGCACTCTAGAGGTAGAGGGTACCATGGGAACTCAGGAAGCTGCGGGCATCCAGACAAACGTAGGTAGGCACCTATTCACTAACACCCAGAGAGTGAGGGCCTTTGTCTGTCTGTGGACAAAGGAAAAGTACTGATTTAACGGTTTGGCCTACGGAACTATGGTAGGCAGAGAGTAAAAAGGATTTGGGTACAATGCAAATTTTATTGGGAGCCGTACTTTCTTGGGAGCCGTACTTTCTTGGGAGCCGTACTTTCTTGATACAAGGGAGGTTGTGGCAAGGAAAGCCCACAAGTACCACTTTCTCCCCATCTACTCCTGCGCCCTGTTCTATCAACTCCTGTCCCTGTCGATCCTTGTGCTCGCACTGTTGCTTTCGCTCACACCGACTTAAGGTGGACTGAAACGCGTAGAGACAGCGAAGAGGGCGAGCGACGCGGCCTCGAGGGCGAGCAGGGTGCCCTTGAGCTCCGTGAGGAGGTCGACGGCGGGCCCAGGACCCTGACCCTGACCCTGACCCTCCTCGCCGGCGGCGGCGGCGGGGATGGCGCTAATCAGCCGCTGGATGAGGGCGACGGCGGGCTCGGGGCCCCCGAAGAGGGGGCCGACCCGGCCCGGGTCCTGCTCGAGGTAAACGGTAAGGCCCCTGGTCAGCCGCAGCAGGCGCGCGTTCATGCCCTCCTGCCAGTACCACCACGAATCCGCGTTCCCGACGTTTTGGGCCGCGAGGAGCAGCGCCTCGAAGGTCTCGTCGGGCTCCGCCGTCTCGTCGGGCTCCGCCGTCTCGTCGCTGCCCGCCGCATCCGCCGCGGCGCGCATGCCGGCCTGGACCGCGAAAAGCACCGCCTCGAAAGAGCCGGGGGGCAACGACGACGTCTCGCCGCCGCCCGCCGCATCCGCCGCGGCGGAAAAGGTTATCGTGCCGGCCTCGGGGCCGTTCCGGAACAGAAACGTTAGCAAATTGCTCGACATGGTAATGTTGTGTTGGATGACGCTGTTTGAAAGTGGTTTTGGCCAAGGTAAACGGCAATGTCGAGTGTAGATGATGTTGCAGAGTGCAGATGGTGATGCCGAATGTCGATGTTGGATGGATGCGTTTGTGTGGCTGGGGACTTACTTACCTCAACTTACGTGTGGCCCCTAGGGATACGGCAGGCAGCAACACTTTGCCTTGCTGGGAAGACATGATGCGGGTAAAACGGGATGCCATCTTTGGCTTTGCTTGACGGCTCAAATGTCACGATATTTTGGTTTGGTAGCTGAAGCGGAACAGAGAAGGGGAGACGGCCTTCATGCTTCGAGGCATCAGCAACGGGAAGTTAAAAGCCAGGTGTGCTCGCATTCTGACACGTTTCCTGTGTGTACAATCATCACCTCCAGACCTGTTAACAAGTAGGCGCGCACGGGCCCAGGCGAGGAGTCAAGGATAAATAGGGCTGGTCAGGACGGAATTTTCTTTTTTTAGTTTGACTTGTTTACCCTACATTTCCTGCCTCTGCGCGCCCTCACCATGCCATGATGTACCTTCAAGACCCTTGGCCCAAGCTGCCAGACGGCACCAACTTCGATGGGAAGCAACTCTTCAGCCTAGTCCGCAGTGGCAAGAGCCCCTTTGATGGAGCCTGGGATGTCAACCTACTCATTCGAGAGATTGAGGAGAGTCTCGGCGCCGAGATGACTGACATTCCGTTCGTCTACAATGGCTCCAACAATTACGTGAGTTTTTTTAGTTTTTTTTAACAATCTTTATTACCCGATTCTGGCTGAGACTGTAGTTGAATGGCACAAGGGTTTCCACATCAGGCTCCGGGATCGACCGGACATCGTGGCGCGTTTAGCACGCGGCGATGTCAACATGCCTAACTATGACGGCTTTCCAATTGATATGCAAATTTCCGAGGTCAAATTCGAAGCGGCAGTGTACGAACTTTTACGCTCAGAGCCCAATGTTTTAGCCTCCCGCCTGCTCTACCACCGTATTCCACTGCAGCGCGATGACCCTAGACTGGACCGCCCCAAGGATATCATGGGCCGCCGGCTGTTAGTGTTTGAGAGAGCAGCAGGAGAGAACAATATATGGCGCGATCTCTGCCCAGAACAGAGAGTAAGCCCTTACGTCCACTGTCTGTTTCACTCTCTTTTGCTGATCATGCCCTCTAGGCCTGCCTTCTTACCCAATGCGCTCGTATTCGCGCATCACTTTTCAACTTCCAGCTCCCGCTCAACTTCGCCGCTGCGTGGCTTCGAGAACGCCTCTTCGAACAGAAGCCCGCATCGCTCCCTGTTCCCGTTGCGCCCACGCGCGAGTTCTGTGTTGCTCTCTTCACGGCCAAGATCGAAGCGACAATCAGAAACATAGGTGACATGATCGGCTGGGAGGACGACAACAATACTGTTGGCCCCGTCGCTGCAGCGGCCAAACAGTCACTCTTACGCCTCATCCCATATATCATGCCTGCAGACAGCAGCGAAGCCTCTCTATATCGTCTCGTTCTCGACCACGGCGATTTTGGTATCCACAACATGTCGATTACAGTGGATGCACACGGTAGCCCCCGTGTGACGTCCCTGTACGACTGGGAGACTGGGTGCATTCTGCCCGCTATCTTGTCCAATCCGCTGATGGCAGTGGCTGTCGACCTTGTGACTGACGAGAATGCCGCCCCTTCAATAACGCGAGTGCCCAGCGACGCAGCTCCAAGCGATCGCGTGCAGTACATGGAATGGACGAGGCATTATTTTCAGGTACGTTCTTCATTTCCGAGTACATGGACAGAGTACTAAGTATCTTTCTCCGCCCAGGCGCTCTTCAATCAAGCGCCCAACTACGAACGTGCAATCCAGGCAGGGAAAGACGCACGCCACCTATGGTTTGCGTTGCGAGAGTGGCGGGGTGAAGATCCGGAAGGATACTTTGGTAGTCTGGGGAACTGGGCCGAAATGAGGATGAGGGAGCTTGGCGCCATGTAGGAAACATCTCAATGGAGGGGGTGCGTCAGCAGGGTTAACGACCCAAATAGGCGACGGCGATGGTACCTGTAGATAGGCCGCCGGCGGAGCCGCCGGATCAGGCCGCAGTTGGCCAGCCAGGGAATGTGGCGCACACCCCCAAAACAAAACCTCCCTAGACATGGCGACGGTCGCGCCCGTGACGGTAAAAGGAGACCTCAACCCCCTTGTTCGCCTCGGTGTCCGAGGTGGCTGCCGTCATACTCGAGCAGCTCTGCCGGCGTGTTGGCCACGCCAGGGTCGCCTCCTCGCCCGCCGCTGTTTTCGCTTCGCCTCAAGTCGGCCTCGATCAAGGGGATCTGGGCCAGGATCCACGGGAGGAGGACGAGGTGGCGCGACGCATCCCTCGTTGCTTCTCTCAACTCGTCTATTAAAGCACTCAGCTGCTCAACCAGCCGCCGCGGCCTTGGCCATGGCCCTTTCGGCCTCTTCTTGCGTCGCACAGTCGCGGGTTTGTGTTAGGTATCCCCGTTTCGATCGGCTGTAGCACCCCCGTGCCCTTGAGCTCCTGCGATAACCTTGTCGCCCCGCTCCTTCCGGCAGTCGATGGCATGCATAAACTGGTCGAGCCACCAGTACTCGAAGGACAGGTACTCGATCCACGTTTCCAGCTTTCCCTGTTGCTTCGGGTCTTGGTTCAGCTCAAAGGAGCGCGTAAAGCCGTGCCGGGCCAGGCGGCGCTTGGCCGCGTCCACGTAGCCGGGGAAACCCAACACCAGAGTCTCCCGGCTCCCGGCAGTAGTGGCGCTGCCAGGTGCGTCTCTCTTGCTCGTCGTCCCAGAGCTCCTTGAGCCATGACAGGTCGTCCTCGAGCTCGTCCAAGTCGCGGTTGTCTCTCTGCCATCTGCGGAACATGACCCATCTCTGCTGCTGCTTCTGGAATACCCCCCAGGGGTAGTCCGCTTTGGTGCCGCCCCACCAGTCTTTAAAGTAACTGCCTCTCGCAATATCGTCTAGCCAGGGGCGCAACAAATGCTGATACTCGCCGTTATTCCCAGCGACAAGGTAGTACGACTTATTGTTTGGGCCCAGGAACGGGCCCCTTGGGAAGGACGCGGAGACCTTGCCAAGGAGCTCGATTGGATAAAGCAGGCGGCCGCCATCACGGACGAGTTTTTGGTATGCGTCCGCCTCTTCCCGTCTCCTCTGGCGCAGAATCGATTCTGCAAACTCTGCTCCACAGACGGCTGGTGATCTGGGATGTGGTGGTCCAAGTGCTCGCGGGGTGCGGTTGGCGCTGCCGGACAATGTATCTTGCAGGCGGGCGTCGAGGTCGTTGAGATCGATCGGCCGAGAGTCCCGATACTCGGCTAGGCCTTGACTTGAGAAGCCGCACCAAGATCGGTTAGCGAGTAAGATGGAAGGCAGGAAGCAGCAGGGGGAGGAAGTCCCACTTGGAGTTTTCGGGAAGCTGTTCACGCCCGCGCGATGGCATGTCACTGCCATCGCCGCCCATAGCCGAAGTGCTCCCCGATAAGATATCGGATCCAGACACGCTTGACACGTCCGACTCGGGATTGTCGAACATGATTCCGCCAATGACAGGAGAGGAGACGATTGATGCAAGGATCAAGGCAAAAAAATAGATCTAGCAGCTAGCCCAGCAGCTAGCCCAGCTCGAGGCTTACGTCTAGAAACGAATCTGTGTGGGTCCTGGGCCATAAATAGGGAGGGGTTGCTGCACGCCACTCTAGCATGGCCCTACCGGAAATATCTACTGCTCAAGCCCGTGGTGGTTGTTAGTGTGATGTGGTCTTTGGCTGCAGAATAGCAGCAGTGGTCTTGTCCAAAAGGCACAGCACCTACACGCGGGGTTTGGCCAGACGGAAGCAAGCTCATGTGGGGCTTGCCGCAGGTCGAGGGCGCTCGCCTGGGTTCATGAGATCATAGACATCGATCGAGGCAAAGATCAACACTTTAAGGCTTCAAGGCTCGTCGGTATGTGGGAATAATTACACATGTCACTGGGTGTTCAGACCTCAGCTGAGTTCTTCTGTGACCACCGCCGTTCCCTTTCCTGGTAGTGGTGGCGTTGTGTGATCCGAGTGTGGCGAGGCCGGCCGGGCCCAACCTAGCTGAGGGATGAAGCAACGGCCTAACGTCCATGCCCTCCTGATGATATTGAAATAAAAATGCATCATTTTCTTCCTTTACCTCTTTCTTCCTTTACCTCCAGCCCTTTCCGTAAGACACTCTAAAAAGCACCCGACGCTCATGGCTATTCCATCATGGGGGCGCCTTATTAGCCATGGCGGATTTTCCACCCCATTGTAGATCTGTCAAACGCTTGGGCGCTGGCCGACAGTGAAGATTGCGCCCGCAGCGGACATGCCGAACTGAAAGCACACCCAATGACCAGATCTCCCAGATGTCAATGATCAACGGAAAATGGCTCGACATTTTCCCCAACCGTGTCCTCCAACTCTTGTGGGACTTGAGATGAAAGCAATTGGCGTTGGTGTCTTCCAGCCCGAATCTTGGTCGGCGATCTTGACATGAGGATACGACGACACACATCGACTACAGCCTTCAAAGTCAAAGAGTAGTATACCCCACCGTCGGCAGTGATGACGCTCACGAGTAGCTCACCAGGTCCTGGTTCAACATGGATGGCCCTCCTCGAAACTCCAGGGGCGGGCCGCACCGCATCCAACCCTGTTGTGAGTAACATGAAGCTTCCTGTTTTACACAACCTGCCCTTGTTCCTCTTGCGCTCTCGATAAAGTTCTTGGTTCCCCGGGGCTTAGGGCCCATTGCTCGCTCCTAAAGTGGCGAAATCTTGTATTTTGCGTCACTGTTGCTGGCGAAATCTTCTGCTGTAGCTCTGGTGCCCTATAGGCGTGCGGTGTTCTGAACTTGTCGGCGCTGTTGGAGGACTGGGCACGAGGGCGAAGGCTCAGACCCCCATACATCAATAACGTACTGAGCTCATGCTGTCGTCTCCGCCGGCTCCATCGTGGATGCAATTGCCTGCAATTGTCATATCAACCTTACATTTTTGGGTTCTATATGGTGATTCACTAATTATCTGCGTTGGCTGGGGAGACACAGGAAAGTACATGGCAACCTTCGGTCCCCGCGTCCACAGCGGCTGACCCAAGGCTAGGCCTGGATTATCGTGAGGTAAAGCCAGAGGCGAAGCGAGTGGCACTCCTCTAGATGGCCATCAAACCAAGTTTAGGGTATAGGCAAGGGAACCAAGATTAGAAGTAGAAAGACGCTATCTTTATGAGAACGACATGGAGTTGAGGGGGCCCCATAGCATACCCGTGTTTCCCCTCTCTGAGACTCCAGCAGCTTGCGATTACAAGTCTCTTGGTAAAACTTGGCCATCGGCGGGGCCTGTACTCGCTGGATCTGAACCGACTGGAAGGGGACACGAAAGAACCGGATGCGGCCTGCCGAGTTGGCACGACAACCCTCGTTCGGGAGCACAGTGGTTCGCTGTCCCGGAGATGTGACAACCTTTTTAATTTCACAGGACACTCCGACATCCCGATAGGGCCACATTAATATCGAGTTGGGTTGCAGACCGAGTCCAGGCGCGTATGCTCGGTAATAATCAGCGGTGCTTTGTTGTCTGTGCCATATCCTGTGGCGTCTGGATATTGCGGTTGCCTCGGCCCTCGACACCACAGTTGGCCACTATCGCCCTCCATCAAGCTGAGATGCCTCATATCGACCCCGCCCATTTGGAAGGGATGTGAGCACATGACTGGATGGCAGGTCCAGAGGGTCGGCGTTCGCTGTTGGTCGTTGTATTCAGGGACAGGTACCCATCGACGTTGTATTTGCGCGCTAAACAACCTCGACTAGCCGCGTCTGTCGCGCTTAGGAACCCAAACGCTGCCTTTCCTGGTATGGGAGACCCTGCTCCGAGTTACCCCCGAGCTCCCGTTCCGTTGTCTACTTCTAACAGGCTTTTGATATACTGCTTCTCCATAACGGCTCGTATCCCTTTGTCAGTCTACACCCGTAGGAAACCCTCATGCCTGGCTTCACAAGCCCCGTCATTTGGGCCGCGAACAGGAGCTGATATTTGCGTCTTGTGCCAATGGGCACGCCTTCAGGAGCCCGATCAGGCTCACATCCACACAAGTCACGAGCCTGGACATGGCGGCACATCATTTTTACGGTGCTTCAACACGCACTCACCTCCCGACGGCTGCAAGGAACAAATGTGGAGAGGTATGTGACCTTACGAGAAAAAAAAAAATCGGTCACGCGAACATTCGAAATGCGCGGGTGGACCCCGCCTGTAAGTGGACAAGTGGAGTGGCCCGAAGACGCGGCGGGACAAGTGCAAAGGAAAAGCCGTGCGCGTAGCCAAAGGAGCGAAAAAGTCATCCTCGCCACTGGGATGGGGGAGTTGGGGTAGCATGGATGGGGATGGGTTGGGCAACCAAGAGCGCAAGGCCGCAATGGGGATCTCGGCTTTCTCACCGCCACGCTCCCACGACGGTCATTTCCCGTAATTTGGCGTTGGCAGGCATTCGAGAAGGTCGGCTACCCGGGGAGACACGGCAACCGACGGGAAAGACGGACGAGTCGAGTGCCCCGTCCCGTTAGCCATCTCCAAGCTCGGCGGGCCACACCGGTCGACGAGACCATCACGCGGCCCCCAGGGCTTGGACGCTTTCCCCAGACCAGCGCCCAACGTGCCGACCCCACAATCGAAGGGGAACCTAAGCCAAAAAGTTGCGTAAGCGAAAGGTGGTGTCCGTCCCTATTCGGGAAGCCGGGAAGTCTGGGGAGGCTGGAGAGAGCGTTCCAGACGCGAAGGGTCTGAAGGGGTTTGAAGGGTCTGTGGAAGGCTACCCGGGAAGCCAGCCTGCCAAGAGGACCCTGCTGCCATTTGGGTAAAATCCCATTGGCCGGCTAAACTGGCCTGCCGCCGATGACTGGCCATTTGCCATTTCCGACCTGAAGCGCAGCAGAAAGGACAGAATAAGGACCGGGTCATCCCACGCTGCAGTGCAAGACACAGTTCCTGCCATGCCCATGCCACCCACGCCCACCCGCAAACGACGGCCCAGTCAAATTAAGCGCCCAGCATGTGGAAATTATCCCGCGCCGGTGGCCGGCAGCATTTCTCCATCGCACACATGACCGTCCAAGTTTGTGTTGTGCGCGGGGGGGCGGCATGGTCTAGTTCGCCTTGGCCTTGCGGGGAGCCGTGTCCAGTCTTGCGAATGAGAGGCTGCCGTGGAGTAAAGCGCGCGAATGATGATTGTCGAGACTCCTGGTTCGTTGGGTGCATGACCAACAATATGCAGCTGCCTGCAGATGAGAAAGAAGAGGCACAAACGGGGCGCGAGAAGCGCTCTCAAGGCCTTGCACGCCTTGTGCGCTTTGCACGCCTTGCACGCCTTGCACGCCTTGCACGCCACCTCCTCATCTCCGTCCTTCCCCAAATGCAATGAGCGGAGAAGAGGAAACCCCCACAAAGCCGGGGGCCCCATCCGTGACAGCTGACCACTTGACCTAGCCTTGCAATCTGGGGAGCGACAAGTGCTTTGACGGCAGACTACCATGGCGATTGGAAGACTATCGACGGGCGGTCAGCGCCCGCCATGGACGGCGCCGGGGGCCTGGTGATGGAGGGGGGGACTAGCTGGAACTGGAAGATGGCGCCCACCGCCGCTGCTGCCGGCGACCTGGTGCCTGTTACGCGCTCGCTCCCCCAACACGGGCCGTTCCCGTGCCCATGTTTCCCCGTCGAGAATCATGGCGGAATGCTGGAGGAGGCCGCGCGAAGCACAAGTGAAGGCGGACAAAAAAAAGGGGGGGGGGCGAGGGCACACGTGCTCTTGAGCTAAATGTTTACGAGTGGAAACATGGGTGTTTCACAGCCTTGCCCTCGTCTCTCGCCCTTTTCTTCGGGCCCTTCCCGCACGGGAGTTTGATCCGAACCCCTTTTCTGGACTGGCCGTACCGTCATGCCACTGAGAGGCCTTGCTGATCATTGCCGCAAGGAGGCTAGCATGGACCCCGACCCTGATCGCCATCCATTTTCGTGGGAGCGACGGATTGGGGCCGCTCACCTCCCTTTCGGGGGCTGTCAGCTACGTGCATGCGTGCCTCCCTCCTACGTAGGTTCAGCTCCAATATTTCGCTGTGCAGTAACACAGAATACATGCGTCTCTGCTTCTCATCCATCTTGCGTGCTTACGTGCGTGAGCGCGGTCTCTCCGTTCAACCAAGCCGTTTCGTGCACATTACGGACTGGCGGGCATCCAGCTCAGTTTGAATTCAGTATTGAAGTACCCGTTTTGGCCGAGACACGCTAAAAGTCAAAAGACAGTGGTGGTCGGGCCACCTCGTCGCCACAAGCGGCCCGACAAGCCATGCCACGTCGCTTGCGGGTTGTGACATTTTTGTGGCAGGGTACAAGGCGGTGGTAGAGTCCATCCTTGCAGGCCTGTCTCTCAGAAGATGATTGACGAGAGATCTATTGAGATGGAGATGATAAGAAAAAAGGGGTCCGAGTTGACCAGATGCTTCGCCTCTTGTGCTCTCTGTCTGCCCCTCTCATGTGTCGACAGAGTGAATTATGCGAGGATGAGGCGGCACTCTAGCAGCCTGGCGCCTGTGCCTCAGGCCTTCTTGGATTGGACCTGACCCGGGCCCAATTGAATGGTGCCGTGAATGCCAGCTCACTATGGTGTTGCACCCGCCCCCCC